AAAGAAAGTAGAATGAAATAAAATCAAATAGGACAGATGACAAAACTACATGTCATGGGTTGTTGGGTAAATTTCACCTTCTGAAGCTTCTGCAACACTGAAGGTCATCCAGAATACACAGGTGACTCCCAAGCACCCACATGAGGTGGTCAACAGCCACCGCTCCAAGTGCCCCCAACCCCGGCTCTTGTCCTTATCTTGTAATCTTTCAGAACACATAAGTGGCACACCCAGGCACCACCACCTCGGCTCTGACACAGGCCAGCACCTGATCAGCCTGTGTGTGTGTTTTAAATGCCCCGTGTATTTTAGGTCAAAATGTTACATGTGTTTCTTATCGTGGGTGAGAATAAAAACAGCCCAAAATCTGCTATTTTAAGGTTTGTGGGGGCAGTTGGAGGCTTTGGGAGGTTCTAGGGGCTCACGCTGAGCTTGCGTCTGTCCTTAGATGAGATGTTGATATTCAGAGGCTGGGGTAATGAGGACCATCAGGACGCATTTGGCCTACACCCTAGCCTGGCCACAGAGGAGATGGGGCAAAAGAGGTCTCATCTCCTACCTGTCACTTGGGCCTGGTCACTCAGCAGATGGCTCAGTGATGCGGAGAGGCCAGCTTGCTGCCCACCTGCCATGTGAGGTTCCCTGTAAAGATGACAGGGCTGCCCCCATCACCAGTTTCATCTCCAGCTGTGCCTGGAACCTCTCGGCCTTGCTGACCTTGGGTGGCTGCAGGTCACTCTTGCCCTGAAAAGACCTTGGTGTCACCTGGAATGATAGAATTGGCCAGCAAGCCCAGCCACGATCACAAAAGCTGGGACTGGAGAGAGCACAGGAGACAGCCAATGGATTCAATCCTTCCCCAGTATTCGATTTTTCTGGAGACAGAGTCTCACTCTGTCACCCAGGCTGGAGTGCAGTGGCAGGGTCCTGGTTCACTGAAAGCTTCGCCTTCTGGGTTCAAATGATTCTCCTGCCTCAGCCTTCCGAGTAGCTGGGATGACACACACACACCACAGTGCCCAGCTAATTTTTCTATTTTTAGTAAAGACAGGGTTTTGCCATGTTGTCGAGGCTGGTCTCAAACTCCTGAGCCCAAGTGACCTGCCCGCCTTGGCCTCCCAAAGTGCTGAGATTACAGGTGTGAACCACTATGCCCAGCCCTTTCCCAATTTTTTAAACTCCGGATTTCTCAAAATTAGAAACCTGTGTTATAAACTCAGACATAAACACAAAAGACTCCTCTCCTTGATAACCCCCTCATTGGATCCATCAGGAACTCAGTCGACCATCGCTATGGAATATGACTAGACGACCCCATCTGCCACCTCCACTGCACACCAGCCCCAGCCCTGGTTATCAAGCCTGTCTGACAGCAACATCCTCCTGGCTCTCATGGCTCCCATCCCGCCGCTGGCAACTGATCTCAATGTGGTGACCAGACACGTCCAATGATGGCACACTAGCGTTTCTTACAGTACAATCCAAAGTCCTTGAGGCCCGTGAAGCCAGAACTGTGTTGGTCACTGGTGCAGACACTGGCAGGTGGGCCATGGGGACAGCTCACTATACTCCAAGGCCCCACATGGGAGATCCTCTAGAAAAGCCATGAGCAACTACAAATGCCATGTTTGATGGCCCCGCCAACCTGCAGACACACCCCACACACCCCTCTGATAGCCAATAACTAGTCAGTTCACCCAAAAGATGTCAAAACAATACTCGCCATTACCAGACCGTCAGTACTTAATGCTGTATATCCCTGATCCCCACCAACATGTGTGCAGATGTGTGTATACAAATGTGTACGTATCTGTGTACAGATGTATCTGTACATGGATATCTGTAGATGTGTATGTATACAGATGTATGGAAAAATGTGTGCACGAATGTGTGGATATGGATGTGTGTGTACAGTGATGTGTACATGGATGTGTCTATATGTAGACGTGTGTGCAGATGTGTGTAAAGATGTGTATATATATATGGATGTGTGTATATGAATGTATGTGTACAAATATGTCTACATGTGGATGTAGATGCTCGCAGCTCTTCCTGCTCACAGGCACATCCTAGCGCCAGCTTTCTCCAGTATGTACCAGAGGCTGCGTGGTGGTGTCAGAGCTTCCTCAGGGTGCACGTGAACAGGGTGAGCACAGAATTTCTCTCCCAAACCACAGCACTTTGCAGTTAAAGAGAACACTAGTCACAAATGTGTCAGGTCAGCAGGCATAAACTGGAGCTCTCCAGGCAACCGAGGACCCAACCCCCACATACCAGGATAGGGGGTGCCAAACAGAACACTTCCCACACCAACCTTAAATCCCACAAACTTTAAGGTTGAACCCAAGCTCTGGCACTTTGTATTCAATGAGCTTACCTGCCTCAGTTTCCTCATCTTGTATGGGGTTACAAAGAGGACTTGAAGAAGTGACCTCCTGTCTGCTGGAAGAGGCTCCAGAAAGTTACAGAGCGCCGGCTGTTACTGTAATTGTGATGAGTCTGGGCAGATGGAACTTGAATTTCTCCAAAGGCAAATAAACATTTCCAGGCTTCAGACAGCTCTACAGGGAGTGGCAGGAAGGTCTGAGGGGAGGTACAGGCAATCTGTGCTTGCACATTTAGCAAATAACAAGACGTTCAAGGGCCCCTGGGAGTTCTGGAAATGAGGCAGAAGTCTCAGCCATCAGACAGGTGGGGCTTTAGGAGGAAGACAGTCCCCTCCTGGGTCTTCTCCCCACCCAGGCTGACAGCACAGGTGGAAGTGGGGAGAGTATTTATGCAGCAACGTATCCAACCCCAGCATCAGACGCTCACTCCAGGCCTGAGAAGACACTGGAAACTGAGGCAGAATCGGGTGATCCACTGCTGAAAGGGCCCAGTGGTCATGCCTGGCGGGATCAAGTCTAAAGCTGTTCTTTGTACGCTGGCTGGAGTGCAGTGGCACGATCTCGACTCACTGCAACCTCCACCTTCCAGATTCAAGCAATTCGCCTGCCTCAGCCTCCTGAGAAGCTGGGCCTACAGGCGTGCACCACCACACCCAGGTAAGTTTTGTATTTTTGGTAGAGACAGGGTTTCATCTTCTTGGCCAGCCTGGTCCCAAATTCCTGACTTCATGTGATCCTCCCGGTCACCTCCCAACATTTGTATACTTTTTGAAGTCACTGATCTGCTTAAAAAGGGGATAGACGTTTTAAATCTTCTCCCCAGGATGGAGGAGACAGACATAAAACTTCAACACAATTACAAGGGCTTCAAGTGACTAAGTTCTATCCAGGTACACTTGGGTAAGAACCCTTGAAAAGCACCTACTAAGATGAAAATGAGCCTGGACAACAAAGTAAGACCCATCCCCACAAAAAAGAAAAAAAATGAAAAGAAAAACAATGGAAGGGCATGGTGGCACAGGCCTTAGCCCCAGCTACTTGGGAGGCTGAGGCAAGAGGATCGCTTGGGCCCAGGGGTTCAAGACTGCAGTGATTTAGGATCATGCCATTGCATAGAAGACCTTGTAAAAGAAAGAGGAAAGTGGGAAAGAGAAAAGGTGGGGGAAGAGGGGGGAAAGGGAAGAAAAGAGGTAGGAAGAGAAAAAAAGGGGGAATAGAGGGAAGGAGAGAAAGGAAAGAAAAGAAAAAATAAAGGAAGAAAAAAAATGAGAAAAACATAAACCTTGTGGCCAGGGAATTCCACTGTTAAGAATTTACTCTGCAGAGAGAATGGTGTTCACAGAATAATTTTAAGAGGAAACCTGGGAAAAGCTCAGGAGCACTTCATTATTAACCTAGCTGAATACATTCCATTCCATGGACTATTATGTGGTCATTTGCACTACATGGGAGACGCTGATTTTTTTTTAGGTGGATATATTAACTCCACGTGCTGATTGTGTGCACAGATCATCTCGGAAAGTAATCACCAAAACAACCCTAACAGTGGTTGGCTTTGAGGGGGGGTGGGAGAGCGGCTTTAAGGCTGCACCAGCACCAACCAATAGAACTTTTTGCAATAAGGACCATGTTTCTGGGCCATCTGCAGCTGTGGAGCACCTGAAATGTGGCCCAGGCAGCCGAAGAACCAAATCTTTCATTTTCTTTAATGTTAATTCATTTAGATTTGTTTTTTCTTTTTTGAGATGGAGTCTAGCTCTGTTGCCCAGGCTGGAGTGAAGTTGTGTGATCTTGGCTCACCGCAACTTCTGTCCCACAGGTTCAAGCAGTTCTCCTGCCTCAGCTTCCCAAGTAGATGGGGTTACAGGGGTTCACCACCACATATAGCTACTTTTTGTGTTTTTAGTAGAGATGGGCTTTCACCATGTTGGTCAGGCTGCTCTCAAACTCCTGACCTCAGGTGAGCCACCTGACTCAGCCTCCCAAAGTGCTGGGATTACAGGCATGAGCCACCATATTCAGCCTCACTTAGATTTCAATAAACACATATGCCACTGGCTGCCATATGGGAGACTCAGTTCTATACTCTTTCATAGTTTTTTGGACTTTGAATCATTTAAATGCATTGCCTATTTTTTTTAGTTGTAGAACTTAATAGAATAGTATTTAGATTGTATTAATCTAAATGAAATCTACAATAGAATTTAAATTGTACCAGCAAATGCTGATACATAAAAAGATTGCCAAGGGGTGTGTGTGTGTGTATGTTTTGTTTTTTTTTTTTGAGTCACAGTCTCTCTCTGCCACCAAGTCTGGAGTGCAGTAGTATGAACTTGGCTCACTGCAACCTCCGCCTTCAGGGTTCAAGTGCTTCTCCTGCCTAAGCTTCCCAAGTCACTGGGATTACAGGCAAGCACCACCACGTCCAGCTCATTTTGGTATTTTTAGTAGAGAAGGCGTTACATCATGTTGGCCAGGCTGGTCTTGAACTCCTGACCTCAAGTGATGCACCTGCCTTGGCCTCCCAAAGTGCTGAGGATTACAGGCACTAGCCAGCATGCCCAGCTGCAAAGGTGTATTTATGAGTAAAAAGAGCAATGTACAAACAAAAAATAGGGAACAGGTGGGGGTGGTGGCACATTCCTATAATTCTAGCACATTGGGAGGCTGAGGTGGGAAGATCGCTGGAGCTCAGGAGGTCGAGGCTGCAGTAAGCCATGTTTACACCACTGCCCTCCAGCCTGGGTAATGGAGCAAGACTCTGCCTCAAGAAAAGTTAGAATTAAAATTAAAAAACCAAAACCTAAGCATTACGATTGGGTTTTCATGCAATTTTATGTTATGTGCCTTCCTCAAAACTTGTTACAGTATCATCATATCACCAATCTGATGCAAAAAAGAAAAAATAAGGTTGCGTTTCTCAGGAGAAACTCCTGAGGAGGATTCCCGGAGTGACAATGGCTACCTACAGCCTGGCGAACGAGCAACTACGCGCCCTGGAAGACATCGAACGGGAAATCGGCATCATCCTTCAGAATGCAGGTACAGTGATCCTAGAATTGTCCAAGGAAAAAACCAACGAGCGGCTTCTAGACCGGCAGGCGGCAGCCTTCACCCCTTCAGTGCCACACGTGGAGGCGGAGCTGTCAGCTCAGATCTGCTACGTCACCCAGGTGGCCACAGGGCAGCCCCATGAGGGCTCCAGCTACTCTTCGAGGAAGGACTGTCAGATGGCTCTGAAGCGAGTGGACTATGCCCGCCTCAAGCTCAGTGATGTGGCTCGAACCTGTAAGCAGATGCTGGGGAACTAGGCCAGGGAGGTGGACCCAGAGCTCAGAGAGAGACCATCGCCTGCGCCATGGGAAAGAACCTGGGAACATGCAGGATGGGGAGCATGGGCACCTACATGCCCTGCTGCTCAAAGTACCCTTGGGGAGGCCGAGGCCGGAGGATCATGTGAGGTCGGGAGTTTGACCTGGCCAGCTTGGTGAAACTCCGTCAAAGACAAAGGGGCAAATGGTGGGCATGGAAAAACTGAAGCCTGAGCCTACCCACAGCTATGCCTTGGCCTCTCCAGCAGGGTGCTCCTGCCCTGTACTCCACCAAAACCCTGACAGGCTCAGACAGAGATGGAAACTCACACATCCAACCCACTTCCTCAAACACTTCATGCTCCTGACCCAGGCTTCGCGCAGAATTGGCCTAATGAAGATACATTCTTCTTCACTGGGAGAGACAAGAACTAGAATTTTAATAATAAAAGCAACAATAATAAANAAAAAAAAAAAAAAAAAAGAAAAGAAAAAAGAAAACCCAGAAACTCAAACTAAAAATATTTGCAAATCTATAGCGTTATGCATTGTCCTGTGTCTCCCCAAAAGACGCTGAAGTCCTACACCGCAGGGTCTGTGGATGCGACCTTATTTGGAAATAGGCTCTTCACATGTGATCAAGCTAAGCTGAGGTAATGAGGGTGAATCCTAATCCCGTGTGCCTGGTGTCCTTATAAAAAGGGATACGTGGACAAAGACACCTACAAAAGGAAAACAATGTCAACACAGAGAAGACCACCTACAAGCCAAGGAACTCTGGAGGCTCTGAAAATTCAGCAGCGAGACCTGGGACAGACCCTCCCTCACAGCCTTCACAGGAAAAACAAACAAACAATAAAAAATCCCTTGATTTCAGACTCTTGGCCTCCAGAACTGTGAGAATAAATCTCTGTGGTTGAAGCCACACAGTTTAGGGTACTTTGTTAAGGCAGCGCTGGGAAATGAATGCAGATTTCTTGGGGCATGCATCAACACTTCTGAAAGAAATTTGGGATGTGGCATGCTTAAACTTACAATTCATACCTCTCTCTACTCTGAATTATTTTTTGAGCGACAGGGTCTCACTCTGTCACCCAGGCTGGAGTCAGTGGCACAAGCATGACTCACTACAGCCTTCACCTCCTGGGCTCCAGTAATCCTCTTGCCTTAGCCTCCTGAGTAGCTGAGACTACAGGCACATGCCACTATGCCTAATTTTTAAAAAATGTTTTGTAGAGATGGGGTCTTGCTATGTTGCCCAGGTTTACCTGGAACTCCTAGCCTCAAGTGATCTTTCCACCTTGGCCTCCCAAAGTTCTGGGATTATAGGTATAAGCCATTGTAACCGGCTTGCTTTTTTTTAAAAAAAAAAACAGAATCTTGCTCTATTGCCCAGGCTGGAGTGCAGGGACATGATCTCAGCTCACTGCAACCTCCAGCTCCTGGGTTGAAGCAATTCTTTTGCCTCAGCCTCCTGAGTAGCTCAGCTTATAGGCTCCTACCACCACACCCAACTAATTTTTGTATTTTTATTACAGTCGGGGTTTCACCAGTGGGCCAGGCTGGTCTCGAACTGCTGACTTCAGGTGATCCGCCCACTTCAGCTTCCCAAAATGCTATGATCATGGCTCACTGCAACCTTTGCTCCTGGGTTCAAGCAATTCTCCTGCCTCAGCCTCCCAAATAGCTGGGATTACAGGTTCCTGCCCCCATGTTAGGCCAGTTTTTGTACTTTTAGTAGAGACGGTGTTTCACCATGTTGGCCAGGCTGGTCTTGAACTCCCAACCTCAGGTGATCCACCTGCCTCAGCCTCCCAAAGTGCTAGGATAACAGGCATGAGCCAATGTGCCCGGCCTACTTCTATTATTATTACATTGTAATATACAATGAAATACTTACACAACTCACCATAACATAGAATCAGTGGGAGCCCTGAGCTTGTTTTCCTGAAACTAGATGATCCCTTCTGGGGGTGATGGGAGACAGTGACAGATCAACAGGCATTGGATTCTCATAAGGAGGATGCAGTCCAGCTCCTACGCATGTGCTGTTTACAGTAGGTTTTGCGCTCCTATGAGACTCTAGCAACACCACCAATCTGACAGGAGGTGGAGCGCAGGTGGTGATGCCAGCAATAAGGAGTGGCTGTGAACACTGATGAAGCCTCCCTCGCCCACCCGCTGCTCACCTGCTGTGCTGCCTGCCCAGTTCCTAACAGGTGAGCCAGGTGCAGGGGCTCACGCCTGTAATCCCAGGACTTTGGGAAACTGAGGCAGGTGGATCAGCTGAGGTCAGGAGTTCGAGGCCAGCCTGACCAACATAGAGACACCCTATCTCTACCAGAAATACAAAAATTAGCCTGGCGTGGTGGCTCATACCTGTAATCCCAGCTACTTGGAAATCTGAGGCAGGAAAGTCGCTTGAATCTGGGAGACAGAGGTTGCAGAGAGCCAAGATCATGCCACTGCATTCCAGCCTGGGCAACAAGAGCAAAACTCTGTGTCCAAAAAAAAAAAAAAAAGGCTGGGGTGCAATGGCTCACACTTGTAATCCCAGCACTTTGGGAGAATGAGGAGGGCGAATCACCTGTAGTAAAGAGTTTGGGACCAGCCTGGCCAACATGGTGAAACCCTGTCTCTACTAAAAATGCAAAAATTAGCCAGGTGTGGTGGTACATGCCTGTAATTCCAGCTACTCAGGAAGCTGAGGTAGGAGAATTGCTTGAACCTCGGAAGTGGAGGTTACATTTACCTGAGATTGCACCACTGCACAAAGTGAGACTCTGTCTCAAAAAAAAGAAAAGAAAGAAAGAAAACAAAAACAGGCTACAGACTGGTACTGATCCGTGGCCAGGAGGGTTGGGGACCCCAGCTGTAGACAATATATAATGATCAAATCAGGGTAACTGAGACAGTCATCACCTCAAATATTTATCTTTTGTTTTGGGAACATGAAAATCCTTCTCTTCTAGCTATCTTGAAATATTCAAATAAATTCTCATTCAGTGTAATGTCCCTTGTGCACTATTGATTACTGTAACTTATTCCTTCTCTCTAGGCCTTCTTGTCGTTCATTCATTCTTTTTTTAAATTATTTTTTATTTATTTCTGAGACAGTCTCTCTCTTTCTGCTAGGCTACAGTGCAGTGACATGATCTCTACTCACTGCAACCTCCACCACCTGGGGGCAGGAAATTCTCCTGCCTCAGCCTCCAGAGTAGCTAGGATTACAGGCATGCACCACCATTTCTAGCTAACTTTTTTATTTTTAGTAGAGATGGGGTTTCACCATGTGGTCCAGGCAGGTCTCAAACTCCTGACCTCAAGCAATCCGCCCACCTCGGCCTCCCAAAGTGCTGGGATTACAGGCACGAGCCACAGCACCCGGCCATTTATTCATTCTTACATTCATTCAGTCAATGATTCACTGCACTCCAGCCTGGGGAAGAGAGCAAGACTCTGTCTTCAAAAATAAAAAAGTAAAGAGAAATTCAGGTGCAGGTGTAGAGTGGATTAGCATGAGCAGGGGTGCCGTGGTGGTGGTGAAAGTGGTCAGGAAAGGCCTCTCTGTCAAGGTGACAGACATGAGGGCTGAGCCTGGGGACTCCTGGGGAGAGCAGCATGGGAGGGCTCTAGGCGTTGGTCCCATTTGTGATTCTTTTGTTTAGTTTAGTTTTTGAGACAAAGTCTTGCTCTGTCACCCAGGCTGGAGTGAAGTGGCACAATCTCAGCTCACTGCAATCACCACCCGGGTTCAAGCCACCTCAGCCTCCCAAAGAGCTGGAATGACAGGCTTGAGTCACTGCACCTGGCCTCTGCATCAGCATGTTTAAATTCTTCTGAAAGCTGTGCTTTAGGAAGAGTGTTCTGATAGCCATCGGAAATAAATGACAGAATGGCAGGACAAGGATCACGTCAGTGACAGGGTGGCTGTGGACATCTGCTGGCCAGCAGCAGGAAAGCCACTCAGACCCCGGATTCTACCTCTGCAGCCTGCCTGCACATGAATCCTCCTCCCCACATCAGTAGAAGCCTGGAACTCTCAGAAGAGCAGACCTCATCAACTGCTGCCACCTTCACCAGAATGATGTGATACTTTTGTTCACACAGAAGACAGCAAGAACCCTGAGAGAACAGGATCCAAAATGTGTGGGTTTTGATGGACAAGGTTGTAGGATCTGGGAGGCTCCACCTACCTCACCTCCTGACCCCCACACTCCTTCCCCAGTCCTGCTCAGCATAGAGACTAGAGTGACATTACCAGAAATGTAGACGCTTGGAAGGACACCAGTGACACGGAGAAGAGGAGATCGGAGGTCCACAAGGCACCCAGCTCCTGGACTCGGATGCCCAGGACTCTGTCCAGAAAGGCTCCCTCCCAGCCATGGAACTTGATGGTCCTCGAGTTCCTGAGGATGGAGCTGCTGAGCTGGGCCTGCAAGTCCTTCTGCCTCATTTGCTCTCCTGGGATTGGAGGGAAGAGAGAGATGAAGACACGGCTGGTCCAGAATTCTCTTCTACACCCTGACAGTCACCCTGCAGCAAATCCCACTGATCTTGCCAAGTGCGACCCAAAGCTGTCTGCCTCTCCACATCTCTGACCCTGGTCCTGATCCATCCACCATCATCCTGTGCCTAGACTCCTGCAGGAGCTGACCCAGGACCACTGCCCCGGGGAGGCAGCTTCTGATGCCCAAAGAACAGAGGCTGCCCCTTAGCCCACCTGGGTATGGTGCCATCAGGAAGGCTACCTCGAGGTGGGTAATGCCTGAGTTACAACTTTTTTTCTTTCTTTCACATTTTTGGTGGAGTTAGGGGGATCTCACTATGTTGCCCAGGTTGGCCTCAAGCTCTTGGGCTCAAGTGATCCTCTGCCCCTGGCCTCCTAAAGTTCTGGGATTACAGCCTGAGCTACACGTTAAATGACCAGGAGGTGGGTGCTGGGCAGGCAGAGGATGAGGGGATGGAGCCAGGAAGAGGGACGGGAGGGTTTGAGGCAGGGGGCAGCAAAAACCCAGGCACAGGGAGCAGCATGACTTGGAGGACACTCAGTGTGGCCAGAGGAGTGCGTGGGCAGGGTCACTTGGCACTCTAGGGCCAGGCAGGAGTTCGGCGTCTCCTGTGCATCACCGAGGGAGGAAGGCATCATTGGGAGGCAGCTGCCTGGAGAAGGTTTTTTGTTATTTTTTGAGATGGAGTCTTGCTCTGTTACCAGTCTGGAGTGCAGCGGCACGATCTCAGCTCACTGTAACCTCTGCCTCCCATGTTCAAGTGATTCTCCTGCCTGAGATTCTAGAGTAGCTGGGATTAGAGGTGCCTGCCACCATCAGCTAATCTTTGTATTTTTTAAGATAGATAGCATTTTGCCATGTTGACCAGTCTGGTTTGGAACTCCTGAACTCAGGTGATCCACGTGCCTCGACCTTCCAAAGTGCTGGGATTACAGGCATGAGTCACTGTGCCCAGAGAAGCCATGCAGGAGGCTGGAGACACAGTCCAAGCGAAAGATGGACATTGGGACAGCTGGGCCTAGAGGGGAAATAAGTTCTTTCCCTCCATCCCCCTTTCCTCCCTCCCTCCCTCTCTCCCACCTTTCTTTCCTTTCTTCCCTACTCCTTTCGTCCGCTCTCCTGCCCTTTCTTTCTGCCCTCTTTTTTCCCTCCCTCCTCCCTTTCTTCCTTCCCTCCCTCATTCCTTCTCTTCCTCTTTCAACTCTTTTCTTCTCTCCATCTGTCCTCCCCTTTCCTATCTTTCCTTCCCTCCCTGCTTTTCACTCCTCCCCTCTCTCCTTCCTTCCACAGTTCTCAAACACTGATCCAGCACCTTCTGCATGCCGAGCACTAACTACATACTGAGTCTGCCACAGAAAGTGGCCCGTGCTGCTGCGGAGCTTCCAGTCTAAGGAGAGCGAGGCCGTCAGCCCCTGCCAGGTGCTTCCTGCAGGGCCCTTTAGGAAGTGGGAAGTGCTGGGGAAAAGCAAAAATGAACCCAGGAGAGGCCAAGGAAGGGAGCCACTCGGAGGAGAGGGATGGGTGTGCCGTGTCATTGGTGGACGGTGGTGAGGGAGGCTGCCCTGACTGCAGGGGGTGCTGGAGGGGACAAGGGTCTTCTGGAGTGAGGGTGGTCCAGGTGGAGGGAACAGCTAAAGCAGATGCCTGGAGAGATGTGTGAACATCAGGCAGGTGTGAGGATGGGGAAGGGGGTAGGTGGGGAAGGGAGGGAGATGTGTGGAAGGTGAGGCTGGAGGCAATGAGGCAGCTCAGGGCAGGCCTGGTGGGCCACTGTGGGGCCTTTGGCTCAGACTGAGGAAAATGAGGCCGCTGTGGGTCTGAGCAGAGGAGGGTGCAATGGATTCAGCTCACACAGGTCTCCTGTGGCTGGAAGTGGAGAGATGCTGGGGCAGAAGTAGGGAGTGAGCCAGGGCCTTGCTGCTGGATGCATTTTCAAGATGATGCCAAGCAAATCTGCTGACTGATGGGGTGCAGGAGAAAAGGGCATTGGTCTGACAGAGGGCCTGGGGCCTGAACACTGGAGGGAGGAGCCGCCGTCCACTGCAATTGGGAAGGAGCGGGACAGGTCTGCACAATGGACAACTCACAGAGACAAGAACAAAGCCAGACCCGCCGGCTCCCACTCAGCTCTCCTCTCCCCTTCACCCACACCAGGGCCTGTGTCTTCCTCCCTACTTCCTACCTGGTCCGTCCCTTTCCCAAAAGCCAAACCTGACAGTGATTCCTCTTCTCGGTGATGAAGAAATTCAGAGGGAGGCAGCTCAGGAAGACAGCGATGGCGGAGGGACCCAGGAGCTGGGGACAGAGGGGACAGAATGTCAGGAGATCCCAGGGAGTCCAGCTGCCAGAGGCGTGTGAACCACAGCAGCTTCATCTTGAATAGGAGCTGGGTAAAAGGAGGCTGAGACCTACTGGGCTGCATTTCCAGGTGGTGAAGGCATTCTAAGTCACAGGGTGAGACAAGAGGGCAGCACAGGATACAGGTCACAGAGACCTTGCCAGTAAAACAGGCTGCAGTAAAGAAGCCAGTCCAAAACCCACCAAAACCAAGACGGCAATCAGAGTGACCTCTGATCGTCCTCACTGCTACACTGCCACCAGCACCATGACAGTTTACAAATGCCATGGCAACATCAGAAAGTTGCCCTATATGATCTCAAAAAAAGGGGAGTCATGAATAATCTACCCCTCTTTCAGCATGTCATGAAGAAATAACCCTAAAGATGGGCACCAGCGCCCTCTGGGCTGCTCTATGGAGTAGCCATTCTATCTTTACTTTCCTAAAAAACTTGCTTTTTTAGGAAACAATAACTTTGCTCTGTGGCTCTCACCTGTAATCCCAGCAATTTGGGAGGCTGAGGTTGGTGGATCACCTGAGGTCAAGAGTTCGAGATCAGCCTGGCCAACATGGTGAAACCCCGTCTCTACTAGAAATATAAAAATTAGCCAGGTGTACTAGCGAACACCTGTGATCCCAGCTACTCAGGAGGCTGAAGCAGGAAAATCACTTGAACCCGGGAGGC